ATTAAAGATTATAAAATTTTCATACAATTATAATTTCAAATCTTAAACAGCCGACCTGAATGCACGATCACTACTCATAATCATAACATTGGGCCAATTAAAGTATCGACCAATTAAACTTGGTTTAAGTACACTCATACGGCAATTGGAGTGTGAAATAAAAAAATAACGAATGGAAGATTTCAATACCAAATTACTCTCAGTCAATTCTTTCTCTTCCCCTAATACGATGCTTAAATAAAAAGGCAACTATGGTTAAAATAAAAAGGACAACTAACTTATAAAGTGATTCAATTATTCCGCAAGTCAATATAACTCATATCTTGCCAAATCTAATAAACAAAAAACTTACCAATAGAAACGGACAAATCTCTTAGGGCCTGGGAAAAATTATTTGTTGATTTTATTAAGAATTTTTTTTTAATCAGAAAGCATAAATACAAACTCCCGTAAAATTGTGTTAATATTTCACTCATGTAAATACAAGATGCAAAACTTTGTTGGTCTTTGTTTGTATGGATTTATATCTAATGTTGGGTTTATAAGCCAAATTTTTTACTATAAATTTATATCTAATTTATTTTTAATTTACTATTAGTTTATCTTATAAATCAAATTTTCTACTATAAATTATCTTTAGTCTATTTTAAGTTTATTATAGATTTATGAGCCATTACAAGAATACAAGCTATAAATTTAAATTTATATATACAGTTTATTTTCAGTTTATTATACAAGGAAAATTTATATATAGTATATTTTTAGTTTATTATAGTTATAAAATTACAAGAATACAAACTGTAAATTTAAGTTTATGTATAGTTTATTTTCAGTTTATTATACATGGAAAAATTGTATATAGTATATTTTTAGTTTATTATAGTTATAAAATTACAAGAATCAAACTGTAAATTTTAAGTTTAGGTATAGTTTATTTTCAGTTTATTATACATGAAAAATTTATATATAGTATATTTTTAGTTTATTATAGTTATAAAATTACAAGAATGAAACTGTAAATTTTAAGTTTATGTATAGTTTATTTTCAATATATTATACAAGGAAAATTTATATATCGTATATTTTTTAGTTTATTATAGTTATAAAAATAATACTTTTATCCACACAAAAACGAAACATTCACTCACAAAATTAATGAACTAAAATATAAAATACAACATAACAACAAATAAAAATAAAATAAAAACCATCGATATAAATAACCATAAGAAATATTCACAAAAAATATACAATAATTAATCAACCAAAAAACGACTGCTCTTTTGTCGAATCCTAACATCAAGTAAACATATAATTCTTCCACAAAATAATTAAATTAAACATTTGAAGAATATTTTTCCAAAAGGCTGAATCTACACAAACCATATGTGAATATAAACAACAATAAATTGAAAAAAAGGTCAAGTCCTAAGTCGAAATCGATTCTTTTTCCAACCAGTCTCGAAATCAATAGGCATGTCCTAATGTCTCAATGCGTTTATACCGAAGCTGCCAATCTTCAAGTAGAAATCCTCAACGCCTTTATAAAAAACACAAATTCGCAATAAGCAGAACGTAAACTCTATTGTTCTCGACGCTTATCTTCTCCTTGTTGATAACACCAGCTCAAGCTTCTGTTTTCTCGACCTTTGCAATCAGCTTCGTCACAAATCGAGGCGAATACGCGTGCAGTGCAAGTAGTCAAAAAGCGTCGATTGCACTTCTCCTTGGGCGACTCATGGGATCCCATCTGAATAAGGACGCAAGCATTTTCATAACTCATATATATGGGCAGACTTTGAATTAACTCAAGATAAACATCAAACTAACTCAAGATAAACATCAAATTAACTCAAAAATAAACATCAAACTAACTCAAGATAAACATCAAATTAACTCTAACAAATCTCCTTTCAAATCCAACAAGAGTTCTCGAACAGACCATGGCCAATTCTATTTTCAAATCAGATCTTAAATCCACAATAAACAAAGAAAGAATTAATTTGCGTAACACTATGAGGCGGCAGACGTTGCCGGTGACGGGAGTAGTGAGACGATAAAAAAAATGTGATATTAAATTCAGAAATTATCTTAATACGAAGGTGCTACTGGAATTCTATTTTCAATTTTTCAGATCTTAAATTCAACAACTCATACATCTAGATCAATCAATGAAACCTCAAAAAAAAAAAATTGTGAAACCCTAATCACTAACCCTCACCTCGAGGCGGCGGACGTTGCAGACGGCGGGAGAAGGAAACCGGAGAGGGAGACCATCTCGAAGAGAGGGCGACGTTGGCGGCGATTTGGATGGCCCTCAGATGCAGACCTCCACTGGTGTCGGGAATCACCCCACGGCCAGAAAAGCGGAGTCCGCAGGAGAAGGCCGCTCATCACTGGTCCAACCCATGGTCGGAGGAGGGGAGCAAGCCGCGACGACAGATGGAGAGAAGGGGATTTGCTTCTGTAAGGGGAGAATTAAAGTCGAGAGGAAGTGAAAATAAAACTCATGTATCTTTATCTTTTGAAGAGCTCGTACAAGTGGTAAGTAAAAGTTAAGAATGATAATAAAAAACTTATCTCGTCTTTAAAGAATAAAAATTTATTAGCGACGTGCACCGGGTCATTCTTTCAAGATTTTTCATTCGGCCTGGACTCAAACTCCTTTTAACCCAACCCATTTAAAATGTCCACCACTTTTAGGCCCATATATTAGAAGATAAAAGTCCAATTATATCATTTCCACACACAGAGCACACACTAAACCCCTTTCCAATGGCGCTCTCCAAGCTCTCACTCCTCAACAGCCTCACCAAAACCCTAGCCAAACCCGGCCGTCTCCGACGCCACGCGCCGCCGTCCTTTATCCCGATCCGCCTCCTCAGCTTTTCCACGCCCGAGGAAGCCGCCGCTGAACGCCGCAAACGCAAGCGGCGTCTCCGCGTCGAGCCGCCCTTCGCCTCCTTCCGCCAACAGCAGCCGCTGTCCCGACCGCCTTCATCCCCGTCGGCGCCTAAGAACCCCAACGCTCCCAAGATCCCCGAGCCACCCTCCGCCCTCTCCGGCAACCGCCTCAATCTCCACAACCGCATCCTCAAGCTCATCCGCGAGAACGACCTCGAAGAGGCGGCGCTCTTCACGCGCCACTCGGTCTACTCCAACTGCCGCCCGACCATCTACACCTGCAACTCGGTCTTGGCCGCCCAGCTCCGCCAGTGCAAGTACTCCGAGCTCCTATCCCTCAACCGATTCATCACCCAGGCCGGCATCGCAGCCAACGTGGTGACGTACAACATTCTCTTCTCCCTCTATCTCGATTGCCGGAAAACCGATCTAGCCCTAGAGATGTACAAGCAGCTGATCAACGAGGCCCCCTTTAACCCCTCCTCCACCACCTACCGCATTCTGATCAGAGGATTGGTGGATAACCAGCTAGTCGAGAAAGCCGTCGAGATCAAGGACGACATGGAGGCGAAGAATTTCAAACCCGACCCCACGATCTACTCCTACCTGATGTCTGGGCACGCGAAGAACTCCAACGCAGAAGGAATTTTCGAGTTGTATGATGAATTAAAGAAGAAATTGGGAACAGACAAGGTTTTAGACGGTATCATTTACGGGAACCTAATGAAAGGTCATTTCTTGAAAGGTAACGAAACAGAGGCCATGGAGGTGTATGAAACGGCTGTAGGCGAGGGCTCGTCTGTTAAGATGAGTCCTTTCGCGTACAATTACATCCTTGAAGCCCTGAGCAAGAATGGTGAATTCAACGAGGCGCTAAATTTGTTCGAGAGGATGAAGAACGAGCATGCTCCCCCCAAAACCCCAACTGTTAACCTAGGCAGCTACAACATTGTGGTCGATGGATACTGTTTGGAGAGTAAATTCGACCTTGCCATTGAAGTTTTTAACAGCATGGGGGAAAAACGGTGCGAGCCTGATGCTCTGTCTTACAATGTCTTGATCGACCAGTTGTGCAATAATGACAGGTTGGTTGAGGCCGAGGAACTCTACAGAGGCATGGCAGATAAAAAGGTGAGCCCAGACGAGTACACCTTTGTCACCTTAATGGACACATGTTTTAAAGAAAACAGGCCGGATGATGCAGCCCAATACTTCAAAACTATGGTCGAGTCCAAATTGAAGCCCAATCTGGCAGTCTACAACCGGTTGGTCGAGGGTTTGGTGAGAGTAGGGAAAATCGACGAGGCCAAGTCGTTTTTCGCCTTGATGGTGCCAAAACTAAGAATGAATGACGAGTCGTACAAGTTCATCATAAATGCCCTTTTTGAAAATGGAAAACATGATGATGTCATTGGAATTGTGAGTAGAATGTTGAGGGAAGACCCGTGTGACTTTACGGAGGAGGTCGAGGAGTTTGTTCAGGAGGGGATGAGGAAGCAGGGGAGAGAGGATGAGGTGGCGGCTATGAAGGCGGAGGTCGAGCGGGAGAAGGCTGAGTCAGCTGCCCGCGTGGCGGCTGAGGCTGAGCGGGCAAAGGAGAGCGCAAGGGCAGCTGTTGCGGCCTTGCTGCCCTCGAAACTTTTGGGGGATGGAAATAATAGTGATGATAAGGATGGCGGTGAAGAAGAAGGAAGGGAGTCGAATGGGGCTGATGATGGGAGTGAAGTGCAAAATATTGATAGGGAAGAGGAGGTGGTGGCTTGAATGCTCGATTGTTGGACCGAAGGGTAAATTAGTTTTATCTCACTTCTTTTTTTTGGGAAGTATAATTGAGAGGAATGCACTTCGATTGAGCGATGTTATCATGTGATTTGAGATGTGGGATTGTTTTATGGTTTAATGGCCAAGGTGTGATTGGTATTGGTATGGAGGATCATGTGTTGCCAATTGATGTGTAACTTTTAGCTTCTAATAATGTTATGAACTGTGGGTTTGGAGTATTTTTTATTGTTTTGCATTGCTTATAGTTTCATGTGTGTAGATTATGTGTGTAGAAATGAGAATGTTTTGCAAATAAAACTCTCTTTTCCTCCTTTTAAAAAGGTTGCACCTTTATAAATTCCATCAATGTACCCAAATTTCCACAAAATTTTGCTTAGAGAAGAAAGCACAAGGAACCCAAAGAAACTGCAGGCTATTTAAACATGCACACTTGATCTGTCACCCAAATGCATACATATTCACTACATTTCATTACTGTTAAAACCCATATCAGAAATCCCAAATTACAATAAAAACATACATTGATACATTCAAGTTAAAACACAAACCAAAAAAACCACAACATAAATAAAAATCGAAAATAACCCCCCATCTCTCGAACTCACATCCTCAGCTACAGAGATTCGGGATGCATACACCGGAATCCGAGCCCTGCTGCTCTTTCCAAATCCGACCCGTGACCCTGAGCTTGAGTTCCTTTCGGTCCCCACCCGAGAAAAAGAGGGCCATATTCCTCTGGATAATGAGCCCATCATGGCTATCACGGACCTTACGGTGACTGTCTCGAATGCTTCTTGGGGTACCTTCCCAGACGAGCTTCCTTCCATTTCCACCCACCTCAAGGCTGTAGGTATATTCGCGCGACTCGTTTTCATCCCCCATGAAACGGAGGAAGGCCATGTAAACTGGGGCCATCCCGAGCTGAAAGGCCTCGAAATGGAGGCAGAAATACTGCCCAAAACAGTGGAATACCTAACAAAAGTTCAGGCTATTAAGTAGGAACTCAGAAAAGAGATTATTGTATCTTTAAACCCTTTTTGAAGGAATTGAAGGGATAATTGCAAGAGATACCCATGAGATCTGGCCTAATTACAAAGGAAAGGTAACTTATGAATTTGCAATTTGCATATACCATATTGCCAACCCTTGAGTGTTTTGCATCCGTCTTTATACCTTGCATGTGTTAAGTGGAGCTAATGGAAAGTTTTTTATGTTGTTGAGTATTTC